TATATATACACACATACACACACACACACACACACACACACATATATATATATGATCTGAGCGACATACCTGAAGCAAAGCAATGGTCAGCTGCAGTTGTGCAATCTGCTCGTTGACCGCGTTGCGCTCCCTCACAACCTCCAGCCAATCACGGATGTGCGCCTGCAGAAACACGGCACACTCTACTCTGCGCTCTAGTAAGGCCAGGTAAGCCTGTACGGGAAGCAAGTAAGTATTAACGTATTTTCTTTATGGGAAGCAAGTAAGTAATAGCGTATTGCCTGTACGGTAGGCAAGTGAGTATTAACGTATTTGAGAGGGGGCAGATGCAGTATAGTACTATGCCAACTACTATACAACACAAAGGTGTTCCGTGCGGGGAGATATATACAGAATACGCACACCAATGTGTATCTGGGAGAGACACCACACTACACATTACCACCCATCCCAACACTTATTCAAACATATACCGAACTGTATTCAATAGTGGCCCATTAATATCTCGCGAATGTGTGTTGGCCGAACCACGGACACATGTTTATTTACAAAAATTGCCAAGTTGTACTTGAACCTACTCAGATATGTCCCCGGAAGTACTTCACGTTGACCATAGCCACACACTTTCACTCGAGGGTGTAGTAAGGCCACAGACACCTGGGAGAAGGACGTGTAGTACGCTCGTGCACACAATATCCGCTCCAGCATACACGTATCCACGCCTCAACGCATGCACACACACGCTTCACACATACCTCTAAACCCGCATACACACAAACCACAGATCTATAAATAGAACACTTTAAAAACCAGGTAGGTAAAAAGCCGTACCCTGCGCGCCTGGACTCCCCGGATGCGTGTTTGTATGACTATCACAGCCGTTCGCCTCAGAAGATAACTGTGGCGGGCTGTGAGTGCTTTGTAGTTGGATTGAATGGCCACCGCAGCATTCCGCTGTTCTATATATAGCCTTCGTGCTCTGTGCCCACGCCATCGTGTTTGCAGTACGAGGCAGGCCGACTTCTCACGTTGGTATCTGGTGTATGGGAATGGGGGTAGCAGAGTGTAGGTAGACCCAAGGATTAGCACAATAGTACAAGACATTGCACACAACAACCAGTATGTGTGTATATATACATGTATGTGTGTATGTATGTGTGTATATATACATGTGTGTTTGTATGTTCACAAGGACGGGTCCAGCGGCAGCGAATTTAACGCAATAATAATGTGACAACGTAGAAAACGTATAGCTGACTGCTCACACTCAAAGGATGTTTATACTGAGTGTAAGGGTATGCGTTTAGAACCGATCATAAACACATCCATTGCACATGTTAAATATAATATAACAAAATAATAGAATAGAATAGAATAGAATAGAATAGAATAGAATAGAATAGAATATATAATATAATACGATACAATATAATACATTATAACACAATACAACATAGCATAATGTACTATAATGAACCCACGTTCAAGATATAGTAGAGAACAGACCCGGCACACATCCTACGAGAAGCTTAGGAGAGAAGCCCTAAGCAACCCCACCTATCCCCCGCACACCTCACCTATTGCGAGCGATCACCATGCGCACGTGTCGCTGCAACACGACCACAGCCTTTCTCCATCGTCCAATCATAATGCGTATATTAATAGCACGCCACCAGCTCTGTATCGTAACCGCCGCGCGGGTGATGGCTTGGTGCAACAAGTGATCCAACGCGTACATCTCATTGGACCTTAAGAACAGCATCGTCATCCCCTCTTGCACGTTGTCAGGGCTGGACTCTGCGGTTGGCAGGACAGACAGAGGCAGAGAAACGAAATGCGGTCAGCGCATGAGGCCATGGGAAATGGGGTGAAACAGCAGCACAGACAGATACACATATCCCAATGACACACACTGCATGGATATGGCATTGCATCATACAGCACCCATTCTATAACCTTCCTACCACCCGGTATCATACACCACCCATTCTATAACCCTCAGGGGTACCTACCACCTGGGATCATACACCACTCATTCTATAACCCTCAGATGTACCTACCACCTGGGATCATATACCACCCATTCTATAACCCTCACATGTACCTACCACCTGGGATCATACACCACCCATTCTATAACCCTCAGATGTACCTACCACCTGGGATCATACACCACCCATTCTATAATCCTCAGATGTACCTACCACCTGGGATCATACACCACCCATTCTATAACCCTCACATGTACCTACCACCTGGGATCATACACCACCCATTCTATAACCCTCAGATGTAACTACCACCTGGTATCATACACCACCCATTCTATAGCCCTCAGATGTACCCACCACCTGGTATCCTATACCACCCATTCTATAACTCTCAGATGTAACTACCTCCTGGTATCATACACCACCCATTCTACAACCCTCAGATGTACCTACCTCCTGGTATCATACACCACCCATTCTATAACCCTCAGATGTACCTACCTCCTGGTATACAGGCACAAATCTTCTTGCATGCAACTCTCAAGTCCATGCTCTCATCCAGAACCGCCTCACCATATATAGGCCAGTAGGCGTCGACGAACTCTTCGTAGTCAAATCTGAATGGGTGACACACGAGAGAATCAACTCACACGTTAGCAGACATAGCACTATGAACACGCGATGGAGGTATAGACACAAAACTTAGGAGATATAGCAATACACATATCCACATACATACATACATATCCATATATATATATATATATACATACATACATATATATTCATATATATAAATAACTATAGCTACACACACACACACACATATATATATATATATATATATATATATATATATATATATATATATACTACATGTATATATACATCTAAATATATAAATATATAAATATATATATATATATATATAAATATATATGTATAAATATATACATATAAATATATACACATATATACATACATACATACACACATATATATATATATACATAAACATAAACATATATATATATATATATATAAACGGTTGGCACACTTACTTGGAGGCAAGTGTGCTGTTCGGTTCGGTGGCGTCGCCAGTCGCTCGACCTGAAGAACACAGAGACAAATGTTCAAAGGCAGTTTGTGGTGAGATGGCAACGTAAGCGGTGAACTATGTAGTGAGCAATGGCTACGTAAACAGTCAATGAGAGCTGGGCACAGTACGTGCGGGTGTAGTGAGTTGGTACCGGAAGGGTGTGGGCGCATACTACGAGGTGGTAGTCATTAGCCGAGGCTGTTAAATGCCTGGCCAATAAGCTCGGGTGTCACCACACTCTTCTACTACAGTACCAGTGTGTGCGTGCTATAACTTTGCATGCACAAGTGCATAGTATGTGTATTGCTGGGAGCGGTTTCCGGTTCGCCCTACCACGAAGCGCGGTAGTGGACAATTAAATGGCAATATACACACTGTTAAGATCTGTGTACATAGATTAAGTACACAGATTTGGAAATGATGCACCAGATATACTCATACCATAGATGTAACTCAGTATAGTATATGCAAGTCCTGCAGTATATATAACAGTCGCATTGTCATGCAGCACTACCATGCCACCCATGTACAGCTCAGTTAAGCAAGTGTACCAGTGTCTAGTGTCTGATGTATAGAACAGTCGCATTGTCATGCAGCACTACCATGCCACCCATGTACAGCTCAGTTAAGCAAGTGTGTTAGTGTCTAGTGTCTGATGTATAGAACAGTCGCATTGTCATGTTACTGCTGTGTCACCCATGCACACCCTCTCATGCTCCTACTTACCTCCACCTCTTCTCCTGACGGGTGCTGCGGTGGTGATGATGGATGGCAGGGACGGTTTGTGCCCCAATTTCTGACAAAGTGAGTAGTCGTTTCAGGTTGATGAGCATGGAGTGAGCTGCTTACGTGTGTAGCCATCTCAACAATAGCTACAGACCTTATATAGCCTCCTTAGAGCTACAAACCATATATGGGTTCATACTTGAGCCAATCTCAGTGATAATATATTATCAGATTGTCGATGGGATCAAATATCACCGGGAAAGTTACGTGGATTTAGACGGAGATATAAGCATGCAGATATATCAACAGATGTGCACGTATACATAAAACCTCAACTACATGCACACATACACACCCTATGGTAGGGTTGGACACTCACACACGCCCTATGTAAGGTTTGAACACACACACGCCCTATGTAAGGGTTGAACACACACACACGCCCTATTTAAGGTTTGAACACACATACACGCCTTATGTAAGGGTTGAACACACACACGCCCTATGCAAGGTTTGAACACACACACACGCCCTATGTAAGGTTTGAACACACACACACGCCCTATGTAAGGTTTGAACACACACACGCCCTATGTAAGGTTTGAACACACACACATCCACATATACGTGTACCTAAACAAAGAGATATGTACGCTCACGCGGCATGTACTGAGAAAGGCCTGCTACCAGCATGTCACACCATACATGCAAACATGCCAACCGACAAATAAAAATGCATAAGCATTTATTGCACAAGCCTGCAGGTACATTTCTATTTACACCGACCACACACTTCTGTCACACAGACACAGACACACACATTGGCACATACACGCACACATACACACACACACATAGAGGCACATACACGCACACATGCACACATACACACACATGCACACACACATACACACACAAACACACACAAACACACACAGCCATGGGCACCGTGCGCAATGGTCCCCCATACCTGGAGTGTGGCTTCGGGTTGGACAGTGGTGGCGCTGGACGACAGATAGCCCGACTGCTCGTAGTTCGGTTTGATGCAGCGGATGTAGTGGGGAGTTGTGCTGTTGAGCATGTCCATGAGATCATTGAGCGAACTCTGGGGGTAGGTAGGTAGGTAGGTAGATGTGAGAAATGAAATGCCACAGATGGAGTCAAGATGAGTGGCCGAGTGGGTGGATGGGATTGGCGCATCGGCTGAGATCTGCCTTGTGCTGTCGAGGCCCTTTCGCAGTCGACAGAGGGACTCACAGAAAGACTCGCAGAAAAAAGCACAGAAAAACCCACAGGAAAACCCACAGGAAAACTCACAGAACCTAAAACCGGGACATAACGGTTCTATACACCACCTCAACAAATACTTCTCACCTTAAACCGGGACATAAGGGTACTATACACCACCTCAACAGATACTTCTCACCTTAAAGCGGGACATAACGGTACTATACACTACCTCATTAGATACTTCTCACCTTAAAGCGGGACATAACGGTACTATACACCACCTCAACAGATACTTCTCACCTTAAACCGGGACATAGCGGTACCATACACTACCTCATTAAATACTTCTTACCTTAAACCGGGACATAACGGTACTATACACCACCTCAACAGATACTTCTCACCTTAAACCGGGACATAACGGTACTATACACCACCTCATCAGACACATCTCACCTTAAACCGGGACATAACGGTAGATGGGCCTTTGCGGCCTCGGGACGGGGTGTCGTTGCCCAGGTGCAGGCTGTGCACGAGATCGGGCTGTTCAAAGAGATGATGCACAAACTCAATGGGCGACGATTGCACCAGCTCAACAAACTCGGTGTTGATATCGTCAAGGTTCTTCCCGATGAACGCTAAGCATGTGGGTGCATGTGGGGGGGGAAAGGGGTTTAATATTGGGTGTGGCAGGAGGGCTGGATTATGTTGTCTGAATTGTCTGTGCATGTGACAAACGATTATGCAGTGCATATCACGGACTCTACTTTGATGTATATACTATACGATAACACGACACTGTGACACGCTGACACCCACTGACACCAGGACTCACCCCCCGTGGAGTACGTGACATCCATGGCGTAGTGCTTGACGGTGAACTGGCACGTGGAGGGTCCTGCTTTGAGCTGACCAAACTGTGCGTCGGCTGCGTGTTCTTGGTACAGTCGCGTGGTGAAGGCTTCCGGATCTGCCGCGCGTTTCAGACTGCTCTGCTCGTTGAGCAAACTGATGACACCCCCGGGGCCTTCTAATAGGTCTAGGCACGGCGAGTTGTCCGCGTACTCTACAAAGCTCCACGCAATTCCTGTACAGTGGATGGATGTATGGATGGATGGATGGATGAATGGAATATAAATTGTAGCACAGGCATCGTTCTCTCTCTCTCTCTCTCTCACACACACACACGCACAAAAGAGCACAGGTCTTAATCTCTCTCTCACACATATATATTATAGCACACACTATAAATATATATACTAGCGCATATATCGTCCACATACAGACCACCCCACCATCCACCCCATCCCTTCATTGGGTGAGTGGATGAGTGGTTTAGCCCTTTGGATGAGTGGGTGAGTGGTTTAGCCCTTTGGGTGAGTGGGTGAGTGGGTGGGTGATTTAGCCTATTGGGTGAGTGGGTGGGTGATTTAGCCTATTGGGTGAGTGGGTGGGTGATTTAGCCCATTGGGTGAGTGGGTGGGTGGGTTGGTACTGACCTTCTCGTTCGTACAGCAGCTGCTCTTCTTTGAAGATGTGGCCCACTGACTGCTGCTGCAACTTCTCGTTGGCGTAGTTGATGCAGAGCTGTTCTAAATCATTCTCCGCAAAGCACTCGAAGCCGTAGATGTCTAGAATGCCTGAGAGAGAGAGTGTGTGAGAGAGATTTGATGGTCATTTGCACGCACAGGTATGTCACGGAACAAACAGCACGTCAGTATGTATGTATAGGTAGGTATAGGTAGGCATAATAGGTGGGTATAGATAGGTATCTGAATATGAGTTGCTAATACCACGCATGCCTAGTGCAAACATAAGTATGTATCGGCTATGGCATGTCACGTATGCTCATACACAGAGGACTCCCAGGCCAACGTGACTTGTTTACATAAACAAACAAACAGTATGTAAAGAGTAGGTAAATCTCACACACTCACTCACCTATGTAGTTGCGGTGTGAATCTGCTGAGGTGCAGAAGTTGACCTGGTCAACCACCCACAGAAAGAGGGCCAAGTAAAGGGCCTTTGCGAACGAATCTCTCAGCCCCGCAGCCTCTTCACACGACGTGGGCGAGTAGAACACCTGCGGCACAGATTGTAACCATTAGCAGTAACACAATCATTAGCAGAAACAGACACGGAGAAAGCTACACAGCTAACTCATCTGTGTACATACTGTGTACATAGGTGTAGGACAGTTGAGTAATCTGTGTACATAGTTGTCCAGAAGCACACATGCAACCGACAGCTCTGTACACACACGCATGCACAACACACGTACAGTAATACAAACAATTAAATGGAAGACGCAGAGCATGTTAATACATTTGGCAGGAGACCCAGACACTCAGACAGACAACGGGTTGTACTAAACACACCCATGAGCACACACGGGTGAAAGGCCACAAACACACCCATGAACACACGCGGGTGAAAGGCCACATCTGAGTACGTGATATGGTTGAGTGTCCGCCTGGTGCATGCATAGCAACGAGCCACTAGGGCTCTATCAGCAGGACCGGTCCCAAAAATAAGGACAACAGGTGACGGGACAGATATTGACCTTAAGCCACACCACAATAGCCATGAGATATAAACAGAAGAATACGGCAGAATGCCCAGGCATACGCTGGGATGATTGGTGATTAGACGAGGCCGGCTGAGAGTGTAATGGGCATCTATAACTAAACATACACACACTCGTAGCTACATAAACACGATTGGAGATACAAGGAGAAGTATCATAACACACACACTCAGATGGCTGGTGATCACATGATAAGGCAATGGTCCTGTAGGTATGCACGCGTGTGTGACCATGAGTGGTGTGGTGTGGTGTTACATGTGCATACTTCTCCTCTGGCGGTTATTCTGCGGTGTTTGAGCATGTGTGCCAGTTTGCTGGGCTCCACCCCCAACAACTGAGCAGCCACCCTGTGCGTACGATAGCATAAATAACATTAATACTATGATAACATTAATAACATTATTACTATGATAACATTAATAGCATTAATACCATGAAAACATTAATAACATTAATACTATACGATAACATTAGTACCATGACAACAGGCAGTACAGAGAGTGGATGAGTGAACGGGTCAGATGGTAGGTAGATCAACCACAGCACACGCAAGTGGAGGGCAGGTACTTCTCCGAGAAGGGGATATGCGCACAAGGCCTAAGGGCAAATGACTCATACACTCCAGAGGATCACACGAGAGAGCTACAATCACAGGTAGCGGAGAGACGGGACATGGTCACTGTGTCATAGAACATGCGAACGTGCGGCAACACACACTCGCATGCGTAGATATGAGACGACATAGGCATATATGTGTACATAGACGCTATAACATGTGTGTACATGACACTACATATGCATGTATGTACACATACACTTCATGACATATGAGCACATAACACTACATGCGCATGTATGTACACACAGACTTACTGACACAGGTGCCCATAACACTACATACGCCAGACTGTTGTTGTCGGCTGTTTCGTCCACTCGCTTGGCCACCAGTTGGTTGATGTCGATTTGTCCCAAATGCAGAATGGCAGCCAACACTTGAAACACATCACTCTGCACCTTCTCTGGCACTCCCAGGTCTTTGAAGGCCTGGGAAGAAGGACAAAAGTATCGTATGTGAATATAAGAGGCGTCGGTAGATATAAGAGGCGTCGGTAGATATAAGAGGCGTAGGTAGATATAAGAGGCGTAGGTAGACATAAGTGATGTGGGTAGATATAAAAAGTGGGAACAAGGTACAAGATACCAGTTACAAGTCCCGCATCATCGAGAAAGTGACACTCGTGGATGGCATACGTACAACACCGCACACACACCTCTGGCCCACACCTCCTGGCCTATACAGCCATGGGAAGGTAGAAAGATAAGGAAAATCAGATCACAGTTGATCATAGTTTATGTAGATATATACAAAGACACGTAGGTTTACATTCTAAACCCTAAACATTAGCTCCTAAACCCTACAACACGATAGACTAAACCCTAAACTTTAGATCCTAAATCCTACAACACGATAGGCATAAACCCTAAAACTTAAACCCTACAACACGATAGACATAAACCTTAAACCCTACAACACGATAGAGTTGAGGTACCTTGCGCGTGGCGGCCATTTCCTTTACGTCTTCTGCCGGAGTATTCTGTCTCACCTGCGGTTTTTTAGAGGCCACACCCGTTGCTACAGTGGCACTGGTAGGTAGTACAATAGCGATAGGCAGAGTCAGTACAAGTG